TCTTTCTTTCTTTCTTTCTTTCTTTCTTTCTTTCTTTCTTTCTTTCTTTCTCTCTCTCTTTCTTTTTCTTCTCTCTCTCTCTCTCTCTCCCTCTCTTTCTCCTAACCCAACTCATTCTCTTTTGGAATATGGTTGCAAAAATAAAAATAAAACTTACGCCCCATTCCTCCCTGGGAAAAATAACTACCACAAACGCAGACTGCTACTCTAAAAATAACAATTGACAAAAACAAGGGAAAGCGGTAGGGAAAAAACCGTGACGAACACAACACTGAGTTTTTTTTTTACTAAAAATAAACAACAAGGCTTTCTTGTTCAGTTGTTTCCTCTTATCAATTCAATGAGGAACAGAAACATGTGCTGGGAAAGGACTTTTCTTATTTTTTTCTACAACCGTGACGTGAATCAAGATGCAGCTCGTCCTTTTTAGCCCGTTTTGTTAAAATTTAACCCTGGCACGAGGTAGATTTATCTCGGCCGTGTGTCCTGCGCTGGAAAAGGTGGGGTTTTTGCATGCTTTCTCCACGCAAGATCAAGGGATATGGTACGCTGCAGAATTCAGGAGGGTAGCCCACCTTCCTCCCTTGTAAATTCGAAAGTATTTGGTTCTGTTCCTCCCCGTTTCCTTTTTTTTTTTTTAAAGGCCTTTTCGAAAATCAAAAGGGGGAAAAAAATTAAGGTTTGAGAGATAGGCAGGACAGAAGCTAAACAATACAAAAATACACACATGGTGGGAAAAGATGATAAAACAACATACAGGCTTGAAGCCTGCGATATTTTTATTGGAGATTCTACCGGAGAATTATAGTGAAGAAAAAATATATTTAATGATACATATATTAACAGCAGCTAGAATTGTATTTGCTCAAAATTGGAAAAATGAAAAGTTTCTGATGCAGGAGGAGGTGATTAAGGAAATATTGGAAGGTGCAGAAATGAGTAGGTTAACATTGGCAATTGGAGATCAAGAAGAAAAGGAGTATTATATGATTTGGGATCTATTTTATAAATGGTTGGAAAATAAAGCAAACCAAATGATAATCGTTTTAATGAGATATAAGATTGAATAGGTTGTAATATGAATGTAAACTTAGTAAGAAATGTATACAAATATTAATATGCGCAGAAGATATGTGAACCCAGTCGACACACTATATAACTGAAAGATGGTTTTTGTTTTTTGTGCTTAAATAAAAAATAAAATAAAAACTTTTTGGAAGAAAAAGAGAGAGAGAGAGGCAGGGTGCAGCTGTATCTTGTGCAAAGAGGGAGGAAACCCAGCGAAAGACCAAGTGAGGCAGGCGTTAGTGGGTGGGTTGGTGGCTGTGGGAGAGGAAGGGCGGCAGGAAGATTGGTGACACATCATTTGCAAAACTTCGCCTGGCTGAATCGGGGAGGGAGGAGGAAAAAAAATGGCTGAAAGCCAGAAGAAGAAAAGTGGCTTTAAAAGTAAGTGTGGCATCAGGTGAGGGGGGAAAGAGGGCAAGCAGGTTTGATGGCTGGTTCATCTTGGGGCAGGAAATACCCAGGGGGGGCCAGATGGTACATGTCGGCTTGCACAGATGCTGGTTGGAGGCACACAAATAGGATACCTGCATTTTTAAATCACCACGCCCAGCAAAACTCCTGGACATCAATTAATTGGCCAACTTTTTTTTTCTTTTTTCCATCGTGTGAATGTTCAAGGTGGAGGGGGGAAGAGAAGGACTATTTAGAAAAGAAAACCTCCTTTTTGCGATATTGGAGGTAGCGCAAACGACTTGGGAGGGCTGGGCTGCAAGCTTGAATTGTTTTTTTCCTGAAATTTGGCAGTTGGATTGCTCCCCCCTGCTTTGAGGAGTATGAGAGATAAATCCTGTATTTAAAGTACTGCTTTTACGGGCTGGCTCTTTTTAGTTGGTTCATTGGCCGTTTTAGGAAGGGGAGCGATCTGCAGTCAGGATGTTTGAAGAGGTAAGTTTCTAGCTCTCATGATTCCGAGGCAGAGCGGCCCAAATTTGGGCTGAGCTGCTGCAAAAGGTAAAAATTCAGAAATAACTTCAGCTCTAAGCGTTAGCCGATAATTGTCTTGACAGCAGTGAAGAAATGATTTACAATTGGAGCCAGTATTTACAATTCCATCCAGGTTTTTTTTAAAACCTTGACTATTTTACAGCCTGGGGCTTTCCTTTCTAAATCCCGTTTAAGTGTGTGTGAGTGTGTGTGTCAGGTACAGTGGTGTTTTCTCAACCTTGTCCACTTTACGATGTCTTGGACTTCAACTCCCAGAATGCCCCAGTCAGCAGGGGAATTCTGGGAGGCAAATCCACACACCTTCAAGTGGATTAGCTTGAGAAGACACCGAGCTAAAAGCTGCTGTATAAATGTTTGCCCACAAACTGGAGGCAGTTCTTGTTTCTCAGGAGATTTAAACTGGAGTTGATTTCAAGACGAGACTCTGCTATTGACTTGCCTCTCTAAGAGGCTAGTCCACATTGTTCCGAATAGGAGTCGGTTGAATGGCAAACCTAGAAAGAACCTGTCTGTGGAGATTCTCCATCCTCCAGAGCAGGGTTGTCCCAGTGGTGCTTTTTTTTTTTTTTTTTCAAGTGGCAACTGGACTTTTCTGGTTTTTCTTTGAAGACGTTTCGCTTCTCATCCAGGAAGCTTCTTCAGTTCCCATCCAAGAAGCTTCTTCAGGGGTGAAGAAGCTTCTTGGATGAGAAGCGAAACCTCTTCAAAGGAAAAACCAAAAAAAATCCAGCTGGGATTAGAAAGAACCTGATACAGGGCTGATCTTAGCCTGATACGATTTGCTCCCGCTTCTACCTTGTAGTAACCACAAACAGAGCAGAGGCCTTGCACTTACTAAAAGCAGGTGTCAGCTGAAGGAAGCGTGAAATGGGAAGCCGCCCCCCCTACCCGCAGGAAGTGGGCAGATTTTTAACTGCACAGTATGCAGGTTGTCGCACACTTTGTGCTCCACAATCTCTAGGCAGTCTAACCCCAAAACAGTGGCTTCCTGTTGTGTTGAACTAACACCCACCCACCCATCCTCCCCAGCCAACTGGGGAGGATGTTGGTCTCAATCTGGGATGAGCTGCTCAGACCTTATGCCCGTCTTGTGAAGTTCAGACGTGTTGAAACGTTGTTTATTTAGCAAAGCTAATCTTGGCAGGATTTCAGAGGGTTTTAAAGATTCATACGGACCTAAAGTTACATTTCTCTCCTCTTGGGATTGATAAGATTAAAAAGTGGGGCAAAAAAAGTCCCGGAGTTTGGTTTTTATACGTGATAACTGCAAGAGGGTTGTGTGCAACAAAGATGGAAAGATTTGGCAATACATGTGACAGAGGGATAATTGATGAAGATGATTGTACTTGTTGAAGTGATTAGATTAACCTTTGCTGGGGGGCGGGGGGGGAGATATTATCTACATTTATTGGTGGTTGGAAAACGCATTAGGGACTTTTTTTGCGAAAAATGAAAAGAATGAACTCATGATCTCTGGTTTTGACAATTCTATATGTACACTGAGAGCATATGCACCAAGACAAATTCCTTGTGTGTCCAATCACATTTGGCCAAGAATTCTACTCTATTTTATTCTATAGGATAAATTATAGAAAGAAGAGAGTCACAGTGTAACTTCAGAAGTAAGTTGGCAACTCTTCTCACAACTGCTGTAAAGATAGAAAAAACAAGAAGGAACTTTCTTTTCTATTTTTCCTTCTATCCCTTTATCCTACTTGCTACCGATTTTTTACTCTTCAACTTCCAACAGAACTCTATTCAAAAACAAAAACCCTGCTAATTTTCTGCATCCTGTTAAGCAGATTTAAAAAAAAAAAAAAAAACCTTCCAAATCATGCTAGGAAAAGAGATCTGCGTCTCTGGGGGGAGGGGAAAAAAAAATACCCCAACAATGTGCAGCTTGTTTCCAATAATTAAGAAATAGAAATAGGTTCAGGGAAGCTTGGGAAAACACACACACACACACACACATCTTCCAAATCTCAGCGTTCCTGGGAAGTAAGTGACCCTTCTTGTTTTTATTTCAGAGTTCCTGAGGCTCAAAGGGTTTGGAAGTCTGAGTAGCATTCCTCGCAGCTTTGGCTTCCGCAGGGTCTCCGTTGCCCCCAGACTCTCTGAGACCCACGGAGGGGGGTCGCTCTCTTCTAAAGGCTTCCTGACCCTCCGCTTTGAGATTACTCAAGACGACTTGGGTGCTGGGCCCAAAAGCCCGTCGCATTATGCCTGCTCCAGCCACATGTTCACCCACATGGGCACCATGCCCAGGGGCAGCACAAGACAGAAGAAGGCTGGGAGCCAGGGGGCAGAGAAGGCCTTGGAGCCAACGTTGCCAAAGGCCCCCAAGCTTGGAGATGTGGAGAGGGCTGTTGCTCCACAGACAGGTTCTCCCTTGTGTGGAGAAAAAGCAGAACCCAACGAGAAAGAGAGGTCGTCTTCTAGAGTCAACATTGGTCCAAGCAGCTCCTCAGAAGTGATAGTCCAGGCTGAGAAGTCCTCCCGAGGTGTCCTTGAGCCCGGAGAGATGATGTCCAGCCCAGGAACGAAGGAGAAACCGAAGCAGGTAGAACAGGATGGTCTTGAGAGGGCTCAGGATGACCTTGAAGCCTTCCCCCTAAGTCCATCCCACTATGCCCAGTCTTGTGACGCCTACAGCCACCTGGGCACCATGCCGAGGGCCCGTGCTGGGCAGTCCAAGAAGCCCGTCAAAGAGAAGAAGCCTACGAAGAAGACTCAACAAGACCTTGAGGAAGATCTGCCCACAGAAGCAATCCCGTCCGGTGAGGAAACTTCCAAGAAGGCTAGAGACCAAGAGACGGCAGGGACAACCTTAGAAGAGGACCTAGAACAAAGGTGAGATGGAAATCAAGGGGTTGTGTTAATGGTCCATTGCTCATTGGTTCTTCTCTTTGTGTAATGGGGATCTAGCTTCCATTTCAAAACTCCCTCACTCCCCCCCCCAAAAAAATTATGGCCCAGGAAGGTCCTCTAGAACAGTGGTCGCCAACCAGTGGTCCGGGTACCACTGATGGTCTGTGAGAAAATGTTGGTGGTCCGCAGAGAAATGTCACCCCCAAAGCAATTAATCCAGGCTGCTTGGGAACACAAGGCTTGCGTCACCTGCATTGCGAACAACACAAGGTAGTGAGGCGAGGGGGGAAAGGGTGGAGGGGGGGAACTTGCCCCACGCGCCTGGCCTGGCCACTGGGCTGCTTCTTTCTGCTTCTTTCTTCTTCTGCTTTTGGCTGCAGGCAAGGAAAGCAGCCAAAGTCTTCCTTTCTCTCCCCCAAACTCCGCCAGAAATGAGTCTTTGGAACCCTGCAAGGCCTCCTCCTCCAAGAGGCTGCAAAGACTCATTTCTGGTGGAGTTTGGGGGAGAGAAAGAAAGACTTCTGCTGCTTTCCTTGCATGAAGCCAAAAGTCTCTCTCTCTCCCCCTGAGAACGGAGCTGGAGACGGCATCCTGCAATCCCAAATAAAGAAGGATCGATCGGTAGGAAAACGGGGTGGGGGATTTTCCTGCAGACTTTTTGGGGGATTTTCCCGGGGTCTTTGGTCTGTGGGATTTAAAATGATGAGTTTGGTTGTCCCTGAGGTCCAAAAGGTTGGCAACCCGACATAGGTCGATGTTCACCTGCTTCCTGTCTTGGCAGCCAAGAGACACCAGCCCTACTGGAGTAAGCAGAAGGAAGCCATTATGTCAGGCAGATGATGATGGCCGGGAGGGAGACATTGCCATGACTTGGGCGAGAAGAGGACAATCCATCTTACCCAAGGGACGCAGCCCTTTTTGGGGGGTGGACAAGAGAACACCAAGGAAGCGGGGCAGGGGACTTTTTTGCCAACTGTGGCAAAAGAAAGAAAGAACTTTGGTCTCCTGCCACCAAATTGTCCTCAGCTGCCCCAACTTGGCTGGTGCTTCCATGCTCCAGGTCCGTGATCTTGCCTTGCGCTGACCCCAGAGACCCCTCACCCTCCCGAGAAGCTGTCTCCCACTTGGAAAGTGGGGGTGGGTGGGCTGGGATTAGAGGGGGTTCCAGATCCACGAGGAGCAGGAATGTTCCCTCTGCTTCACTCCCAAGCTCCGCTGGGCTGTGCATTCCAGGGGAAGAGGGAGGGACGGGGACCTGGAGAGGAGGAGAAACCGAGGCCCGCAGGGAGGGAGGGAGGGAAGGAAGGAAGGAAGGAGGGGCCAGGGTGGTCAAGGCTGGCAGAGCAAGAGGAGACGGAGCAGCTGGACGGAGGGGGCAGCCGGTCTGGTGGGGTGTTGAGAAGATCCCCCACTTCCTCCTCCTTCCCTCTGGGGTGCAACCAGGCGGGAGAGAAGCCATGGCCGAGGTGGGGATGCGGTGCCCCAACCTGGACTCCATCAGGTAAGACCGGCGGGATTCGTTTGGCCAGGATTTTGCGTTGGGTTCACCTCTCAGTGCTGGTTTCGGTTCTTCGGGTGTTGTTCTGGAATCCCAGTTAGGTAGACGGACCCACAACATCACAACCAGGGTCTGGCACGATTTGCAACGGTTGCAACAGTACGGTAACAATCCTGGTTTTGGCCATTGCTTTAAGCTGAGGGTTTTTTTTGGGGGGGGGTCCCTAACCAGGGAGTGTCAAGTAAGTGACATTAGCCAGATTATAAACCAAGGTTTGCAAGCTACAATGGCTAGGTTCTCACCAGTGGAACGTCGTGTTTTTCAGAGCAAAATAGCTGGGTTCACAGATCATGCTAAGCCAGGAATCGTGGTTTACAACCCACAGTAGCCAGGGTTACATGCCAGGTTAAAAAAATGAAAGCCAGCAAAGACAAAAAGGTTGTATTCTCTTTTTCAGCATTCTCTTTCCAGCATTTCAGACACATTCCACTTTTCAAATATTCAGAAAGGTCCTTGACATCTTGGCCCATCTTTTTAGGCCACTGTTTTTTTTTAATTGCTTTTTAAAAAAATGCAATTCTTTTCTTTCTTTCCTCCTCCTCCCCCCCTCTCTTTTCTCTGCTGGTTCATCATCTCTTGTCTGGCCAATTTCTAGGTTGCTCAACCCTTTACCTCCAAGTTTATCCCCCACCCCACCCAGAAAAAAAAATATCTGCAAAGTTTAATCAAAGGACCAATTGATGGCTTTTTGGGAGGAAAAACCAGGTTCCTTTTACTCTCAAAACCGTTTGGGGTTTCCCGTCTGCGTAGAGAAATAAAAAAAAAATAGAAAAAAGTAGCGACTTTCAAAAAAAACAACTCAGCTACCGAAAGAAAGAGTTTGATTGTTTTGATGGTCAAGGCAGAGAGCAAAGAAATTGGAGGGGGCCAGTATTTTTCACCCTAATAAAGATCTGTTTGAATCAAATGGATCCCTCCAGAACAGCTGCTTAGGATGCCACGGTGCCTTATTAGAACAGTGGCTAATAAACCATGATTAACAACATTGCAGCTGCTTCTACGACTGAAAGTAGCCGAGATGCAGGAAACATGGCATCTTATCCCATGCTTACCCTAAGCTGCCTCTCTGTGAGTTATAGCTTCACAACATCCCTGTGCGGTAGGCCAGGCTCCAAATTCCTCTCGTTGCGGGATTATAACCCTGATATTTTTTTTTTCTGTTTGAGTTCAGCCCTTTAACCTGATTATCGCCACTCCCTTCTCTGACCTTTTCCTAATAATTGGTTGGCTCTGTGTCCCAATCTGACACCCCCCAACTCGGTGGGAAAATTGCAAAGATTCTAGTTCCGTCCCATTATTTGGGGGCGTCATTCCAGCTTCACCTCGCTGGGGAAGATGGGAGGTGTATTCCAGTAATAAGAGGTGGGAGTATACTGCTGGGGAGTCCAGTATAAGATTGGGATAATTCTTCAATACTTTTGTTTTCGTTGGTTCAGATAAATTTAAAGGCGACTGGTCTGGTTCGCACATGACTTCTATAAACTCAACCACTGGGGTTTGCAGGAGAGATCTATGCCTTCCAGTGGGGGTTACAAGCCCACCCTGGTGGTCTTTTGAATGCTATTGAATTCTACTGTATAGTACACTGAAGATAGTATTTAATTTCGTTGTACGATGTGCAATGACAATAAAGTACAGTAAAGTAAACTTTCAATCCAAAAAGGGAGGATATTTTAGCATCTATGCAGAATATTGTTAGGCATTCTTGTACCCTAAAACAACAACAACACTATTTTATTTTGAAGGGCAATGTTTCAAGATTGCAAGGAAGTTTCTTGGCTTAGCAGCCATGCTGGGTCTAACCCTCCCCAGAAAGCCTGTAAAATCCTCCGTGCCCTTTGACCGGCCAGGAAAAAGCAGTCATCTTCCTTCAAAAATTCTCACCATCCTTTCGTTGCCGAATTACCCGAGCTGGCCTTGTCGTGGGAATCAGACACTGGCTGAGGACATCTGCTAGCAATTAAGGAACCAGAAATATTTTTATATATCTGTCATGTTGTGTGACAGATCTTTTAGTGAGCTTCTTCTCCTCTTTATTTTAGTGACTTTTATATATGGTTGTAAAATCAAACTATTAACTAGTAGTTTTCTTTTATTAGGAGGAGTAATTTTAGGTTTAGGATTAGATAGGATTAGGGCTTAGACTACAAGCTCTGGAATTTATCTGCATCAAGCATTTGGGCATAAAGTGGAAGTACGTTTTAAAATGCTTTTAGCCACCCAAGGATGCAAAAACAAAAGCTAACATTAAAAGCATAAAGGGACTTGAAAAGAAAGTTTAAAAGGAGGCATAAAGTGAATATATAGTAGGGGGGAAGCGTTAAACATAACATGGCTGGCAAGGACACCCAGACAACCAAAGATAAAGGACTTATTTCAGACAGTGGACACTGCAAATAAATCTACTTTTTCTCTCTCTCTGTTCTTCCCTTGTAACCTCTGTAAACAAGCCCTAGTCCTTACTGGATATTTGGGGTCTATATTCTACTACAGTATTAGAACAAACACAGTCCAAGCACCTGAGACGTATTTTGGGTGTAGAACTAAAGTCAGCTCATGCAGCAATTATAGCTGAACTGGGAATTTATACAATTCAAGCCCTGTCTAAAATCAGAGCATATAACGATCAGTACAAAATCAACTAAATGGAGACTGATAGACTTCCGAAGTCATGTTTATCAGAGCAGATAAAAACACAACCTACAAAACTTTTGGATCACTGAACTGACAAACGTTGGACGAAGCTGGTGCTTTCTTGTCTCTTGTTCTAACAGGAGGACAAGTTAATAAAAAAAGAGTTGCTCGAAAAATCATGGACATAGAGGCACAAAATGATATAGCTGTCCTTAGTAAGGCCGGTAACTTGCAATGGGAAAAGTATAAACGCACTTTTCAAATAGGCAGCTGTTTAAAGTTACAATCACCAAAGCATCTTAGAGAGGTTTATGCCAGCAAGATTTGAACTGCTCGATACAATGGTCAGATATGGGAGGCTCCGTTTAATATAAATGTAGATAGAGAGAGAGAGAGAGAGAGAGAGAGAGAGAGAGAGATGGAAGAGAGAGCAGGGGGTTAGAAGATAGAAGACAGATGATATATGATATAGACGATTGGATAGATAATAGACAATAGATAGATAGATAGATAGATAGATAGATAGATAGATAGATAGATAGATAGAGATAGATAGAGATAGAGATAGATAGATAGATAGATGATAGATACCGTAGATAGAAGATAGATAGATAGATAGATAGATAGATAGATAGATAGATAGATAGATAGATAGATAGATAGATGGAAGAGAGAGCGGGGGGTTAGAAGATAGAAGACAGATGATATATGATATAGATGATTGGATAGATAGATAATAGACAATAAATAGATAGATAGATAGATAGATAGATAGATAGAGAGAGAGAGAGAGAGAGAGATTGTGACTTTAATTCTGTATCTTTTCCTTGGGTGGGAGTCCAGGGATGGAGGATTTGGGGAAGATATGTGTGTTGGGTTGGTTCAGCAAAGTCTTAAGATGAGAAGTTAGGAAGGAGGCTGGGGGTCTTAGAGGGGCAGCTGCCGGGAGATTTCTGCTTTTTTTTAAAAAAAATTCCAGATTTAGTCCCCGGTTGCTCTCCAAATTCTTGGTTTCCTGCCCAGAATCCCCCCCCCCCCCCCGCCCCCCCCCCCGACCCCCCCCCCGGGCATTTTTCTCACGCCCCCCCCCCTCTCCCCCCCCCCCCCCCCCCCTCAGCTTCCAAGCCTGCCTTCTTCATCTGGTGCTGTCTGGGCTGCGTGGAAAACTTTGGTGGCAACTGGGATGGGGAGAGGCTGCTGCAAAAAGGCTGAGGTTGAGCTTGGGATGAGGTGACAGTGGCGCAAAAAAAAAAAAAAAAATGGGGGGGGGGGAAAGAGCCCTTAGGGTTTTTTTTGGGGGGGGGCTGAGATCATGAAGGACTCCCTTCCGCTTTGCAGACCGGTTCCCACGCTTTCGATTTCGTCCTTGGCAGCTGGCTGGGTTTGTGCAAAACGTTTTGCAACCAGAAATCAAGAAACCAGAAAGCCAAGAAGAGATTGGATTGCCAATTTATAAGAAATGTTGTAGGTAGGGTCTCCTGCTTGGGCGGGAGGGGTTGGACTAGATGACCTACAAGGTCCCTCCGTCAACTCTGTTAAATCTGTAGGGTTGACCGGTTCAATTCTTAGCCCCCAAAACTCAACAGGGCAGTTTTGAAATGCTTAGCACGCAAGGCAAATTTGGGCTATCGTGACGGCTGGAGGGATAAATCATGGTTAATGAAAAATCAGGGTATCCTTGTCTACACCCTGGACCTCCCTCCGGCTCTTTCCTTCCTTCCCCTTGCTGTTGGCTAGCAGAAGATGCTCTTATAATTTAAGCATTTCGCTGTCAGGATTCCGGAGATTGCCCGAATTCAATCATGAGCCTTGAGCCAACATGTCAGCATTCACCCATATGTAGCCCACTCCGCCACACTGTAATTTACAGTCCCCTGTGACCCTGCTTCCCCCCCCCCCCGTGGGTGTGTTGTAAATCAGAGTATTTGGTGCAAATACTCTCAGTATACTTAAAAGAAAAGATACATTCGTCAAGAGTCAAGAATCATAATGTACAACACTTAATGATAGTCATAGGGTACAATGAGCAATCAAATCATACTAGGAAACAGTCCATATAAATCGTAAGGAAACAAGCGACAAAGTTACAGTCATACAGTCACAAGTGGGAGGGGATGGGCGATAAGGAGTGATGAGAAGATTAACAGTAATAGTAGTGCAGACTTTGTAAATAGTTGGACAGTGTTGAGGGAACTATTTGTTTAGCAGAGTGATGGCGTTCGGGGGAAAAATGTCCTTGTGTCTAGTTGTTCTAACTAACTTAACACCTGCAGTGATTCACTTAATTGTGGCAGGAAAGGTAAAACGGCACAAACTCACTTAACCAATGTCTCACTTAGCAACATACATTTTGGGCTCAGTTGTGGTTGTGAGCCAAGGACTACCTGGTGGCAAGTGTGATAGACACACCAGGAATTTGTCTCCAGTGCATCAGCTCTCAGTGTGCATGCAAAGCAACAGAGTCATAATAATTATAATATCCAAGTGATAAAAATTACAATAATGATACTGATAAGAGAAGATAGTGGAACAGATGAGAAGGATAAAAGTAATACAATCGTACTACTAGGTGTAAATAGAAATACATACATACATACATACATACATACATACATACATACATACATACATACATATAAAGTTATATTTAAACATACTTAGAAAAGGGGAGATATTTACAAGCGGAAAGAAGAATAAACTTAGATGGGAGGCTGAGTAGAGTTGAGAGAGAAGGGTAAAGGATAAAAGAAAAATTACTTAGGCTGCAAAAGGTTTCCTGCCCAAGAAAACAATTTAACCTGCACAACAGATAGGAAAAACATGTCTTCATATTTAGCTACATCCTACTTCTCGATGGAGAAATCAGCCCAAAGAGGAAAAAGGATGAAGACTAACTGCTTCCAGCACAGGAAGTCCGCCTGCTTGCTGACCCCAGGACCCCGCCAGCTATTTTCGTCTCTCCTCTCCATTTTTGTCCTTTGCAAGATGGGCCTTGGTGTTCCTGCCCTCCGGGAACCGTTTGGGGAGGAAACAGATGGGGCCGGGAAGCAGCGAGGAAATGGGTGGTGCACGCACAGCGGTGTGTCCCTTGCTTCCTCCCCGATCCTGGGGCAAAGGCAGAAACCAAGCAAACACGTGTGGAATCAAAGAAAAAAAAAAAGGACTCCCAATTGTGTCATGGCCAAACAGTCCAGCCCAGTTGTTTACAAAGAGTTTTACAGGCCACCAGTTCAGAATGGCCTGTATTTCGCTGGAGAAAAGAACGCCGGCTGCTTCTAAAGACGTTTTTTAAAGGAAGCAGATAGAGTTGAGGTCACCTGCTTGGATGGGGGGGGGGTTGGACTAGATGACCTACAAGGTCCCTCCCAACTCTGTTAATTTGTATAACACAGCAGTGTGTGAAAGCAGGCAGCCAAACAAGCCATGGCAATCCTAAGTTGTATTAACAGAGGGATACAGTCAAGATCAAGGGAGATACTAATACCACTCTATAAAGCCTTAGTAAGACCACACCTAGAGCTCTGCATGCAGTTTTGATCACCACACCATAAAAAAAGATGCTGAGACTCTAGAAAGAGGGCAGAGAAGAGCAACCAGGATGATTAGGGGACTGGAGACTAAGGCATATGAAGAATGGTTACAGGAACAGGGCCTGGCTAGTCTAGGGAAGAGAAGGACCAGGGGAGACAGGAGAGCAGCCTTCCAATATTTGAGGGGCTGCCACAGAGGAGGAGGGGGTCAACCTGTTTTCCAAAGCACCTGAAGGCCAGACAAGAAATAATGGATGGAAACTGAACAAGGAGAGATTCAACCTGGAATTAAGGAGAAACTTTCTGACAGTGAGAACAATCAACCCATGGAACAGACGTTGCCTTCAGAAGTTGTGTTCATCACAAGATTGGACTGCCATCTGTCAGAAATGGTGTAGGGTTTCCTGTTTGGGGGGGTTGGACTAGATGACCTTACAAGGTCCCTCCCAACTCTGTTATTTTGTTAAACGGCATTCTGAATTCTCCAAAGGGATAGAGGAATGCCAAGTCTTGAAAAGAGCACAATCGGTGATAGATCATTATGAGCAAAATAGTCTCTCTTCACACGATGATGTCATTGTTTAGTTTTCAAGGCGCAAAGTGGAAAAAAACTTTGTTGAAAAAACTGTCCATGTATTCTTAATTAGAAAGCAAGGCAGCTCAAAGGAAGAGGAAATATTCATTGAGAGATACACACTGAAATATATCTGAAAGCTACCAGAGATCATTCAATAGAGGACATTCATCACACTTAAGCCGTGGTTTGCTGAAATGTAGGTTTGTGCCTGCGCTCATTTCAGCCTGTGCACTGATAGCAATTGCACTTAGACTTATATTCGCAGGGCTTTACAGCTCTTTCTAGCCAGTTTACAGAGTCAGCCTATCGCCCCCCCAACCATCTGTGTCCTCATTTTACCCAACTGCTGGCAGTCAGCAGAAGTAGCCTGCAGTACTGCATTCTAGCCACTGCGCCACCATGGCTCTAAACCAGGGTGGTCAGTCTAGAAACCTCTGAGGACCCCTTTCAAAGGAGCGGGTGCAGGGAGCCAGTGAGGAGCTTTCAAAGAGAAGGCAGGCGGCATATAATTTTAATAAGTAGCATAAATAAAAGTGCTGTCTAAAAGATGATTTCGAATATCTAAAAGTGGGGAAGTGTGACAGACACATATTTTGACTGCTACTAACTGTGCCCTGTCAGTTTCCTGTTGGTTTATATAGCAATATTTCTTTACTTCGCCTAAGTTAAATTAAATTAAATTAAGTTAAGTTAAATTGCTGGCATTTTGACTGACTTTGCTCCTTTATAACAATGCTCTCTATTTCTAGGCATCCGGATGGATTAGGACCATCAAGTGAATATGTTAAGGTAGGGAAATCATATATATCTATCTCTTTTCTCCTCTTTCGGTAACCTGTGATCATAGGGGGTATGAATCTTATTGACGCCTCCAAAATGTGTTCCTTGCAAGAACAGAGTTTTGATGCTTGCAACTCATTTCTTCCTCTTAAGAATAGCTTGCATTTTAAGACCCACTTGGGTGGTTTTTAAACCCATCACAATAGACAGCGAGATGTGCCCAGGTGCGCTCCTGCTGAATTTGGCTGAATTTGTCTGCTGGCTTTGCGAGTGGTCACAATAGCCATGGCACAATAATTCAGGCCGAAGGATGAAAGCAGAGGTGGGTATTCAGCCGGTTCTGACACCAGTTCTGCAGAACCAGTCGCGGACATTTTGAATAGTTTGGAGAACCAGCCAATGCCACCTCTGACTGGCCCCCACCAACCCCATCTCTCCACTGCCTCCCATCGAGTCCCAGCTGATCGGCTGGGTCTCCTTTGGTTGCCCTCCACAGGAGAACGGAGCTGGAAAGCAGGTTAGCGGGGTGAGGAGGGAAGGGGGATTTTGCAGTATATCCTTCCCCTGCCACGCCCAGCAAGTCATGCCCACAGAACCTGTGGTTAAAAAAATTTGAATCCCACCACTGGCGTGAAAGAGGAGGCATACATTTTGCAGAAGGAAACAAGAACAGGGGTGGGAGTGAGGATCGTAGATAGAAAATAGGAATAGCACTTATTGCAAAGGGAGTAACCCAAAACTGGGTGAATCCCAGTTGAATGGATGCCATGAATGAATGGATGCAATGTAGCCGAAAGCCAGCTTCCTTTGCAGCCGGTCCCTACAAGGGGCAACAAAATAAATGTCCAGCGAGCATCGCCTCTGGATAGGAAGGCGCCATTGCTCAGAAGCTGCCAAGTGTCAACCAGAAGGTGAGAATTCTCCTCAAAAACCACTTGAGTCCCTGCCAAACATTCTTGCTGCCTGGCATCGCCTTCCGATGCAGCTGCCACCTGGGTCCCCAAAACGGGCAAGGGAAGAGATGGCACCTCGGCTTTTCAGCGAGGAAGAAGGCAAAGGGGCTGAGGGGCCATGGCTGGGGAGGATCACTCTGCAGAGTTAAAACGCCAAAAAAGCAGGAAGGGGATGGTGGATGGCTCAGGTTGACCCGTACCCCCGAATGCGACAGACGGACCTGGGACATTAAGCGAGGAAATGTACGTTTGCAATCTAAACGGGAGGGATTGCCAGCGATTTGCAAGCTGCTCCGGGAACAACCAGGAACAACAACAAAAAAAAAAAAAACACCAAACGGCTCGTGCTCAAAACGAGGCCAAGGGAAACGGCTGCGCTTAAAAGAAATAACTTTCAGGATTCTTGAGGCATAATTCCAAATATTTTTGTGCGGCTCGTAAGAGAAGGAAGAGAGCCACGAAAGTCCCAGGCCTTCAGAAGCGGCAGATGGATAAAAGAGACTCGCTGGAGAGCCACAACTCAAGTTTTCTGGCTTGTGGGCTGGAAGAGGGCCAGAGACTTAACAGAGCTTGTTGCACTCCTTGTAGCCATTTAACCCGCCTCTCCTCCCAAAAAGGATTTGATTGAGTTTATTGTAGAGAGAGGTTAAACTTCCCAGGTGGCAGATTAGACATTAAGCGGGGCAGAAACAGGTTTTTAACATCCACCCATGAGCTGGCTGATGATAAAAGCTGTTTGAAAATAGACATGTCCACCCCCCACACACTTAAAAATGACCTCACAAATCCCTCACACCCCCGTTGTGATCCTCCGAGAAAGTGGGAAGAATTTTGCCTTTGGCCAACAAGATGTGGTTACAGGATTACACACCTTGGCAAAGGAGGTGGAGAGATGCTCTCCTTTTAAGCACCTGGTTGCTATCACAGGTGCTCAAGAGAAATCCTAAGATAGGGGAGGCCTTTGGGGAGGAGCTGCTCCCAGGTTGTGGAACTCCCGGCCACAGGAAATAAAACTACACGCCCCACCCACTCCATCCTCTCTTTTTCAGCTAAAAGTAAGAATATGTTTACTTCAATGGGTCTTTGGTGTGCAGGCAGGTATTAGACGCCGGAGTATCTTAGTTTGAATTGGGCTCATAATTCAGATTTTTGTCAATGCACTCTCAAGCTGACTGTTTGTTCCCCCAAAAGACCCATGAAGACCCCACCCATTTCTTCCAAGTCGTTGGACTATGGTGCACCCGTCACTGCATTTGGCTAAGGATGATGGGTGTTAACAGCCCACTCCTGGCTTTAGAAAGTTTGCGCTGGGGAGAAAGACACGCACCTATGTAGCTACTCTGGTTGGGCCAAAACCCTAACCAAACCTCGGGGAAGAACGTGCCAGAGACTGGAAAAACTAAAAACCTGCTTGGAGACATTAAAATGATATTTAATGCACCGTTGTCAAGAAATCAGCCAAGGTCAAACTCTGCATTAAGTTGAATGCCTGGCAGGAGGTGAAGGATTTAAAGATTGCAATCGCCGTGCCAACCTGAGCCATTTCCGCAGCGGCTCCGAATCGGGCGTGACTTGCTTAACAACGACAAAGCTTGGCAAGAGAAATCCAGCCCCTCCCCCTCCTAATAAGGTGGTCATAAGTCGAGGATTACCCATAGGGTGATTTTTTTCAGCTCCTAAGGACAAGTTGATTGTGGTAGAAGAAGCAGCTTTTAGATCTCCTGCACCGATGCTTTTTGGAGTGATTTCCTGAACCCGGAGCAGCAGCCAGATTGAACCTGGAGCAAGTCAGGGCTGACTTTTAGCCGTGGGTGGGTTTGGCTGTGGCAAGATCTTGACCAACAATCCAGGTTTCTCGGGGTTGCAAACATCTGGGCAGGTTTAACTGCAGGGAGGGGGTTGTGTGAATGCATTCGAGTCTGGGAAAGGCAGAGGGAGGTCAACCCCTGGTGGGTACCCGAGGGACAGGGACAGGTGGGAAACAAAGCCCCCCCCCCCCAAAAAAGGGGGGAAGTGACTGAGTTAAGGTTTTTTGGGGGGGCTGGGGGGAGATGCAACCCAGGAACCAGCAGAGAGAAAGACCTCCAAGCTTGGCTGCATCCCGAGCCCCGGGAAAAGGATGCCGTGGGGGGGGCTAAGGGACCCCCGGCTGCCCACCCTCACCCCAGCGCCCCCACCCCATCCTTAGGCTCCGCCCCCGCCCCGCCCCCGCCGAGGGATGAGGTAATGTGGGAAAGCAGCCGCGGCTGAAGTTAAAGCGCCGCCGCCGCCGCCGCAGAAGAAGAAGCGGGAGCGGGATCTCCAGCCGGCTTGACCGAGCCGGACGGAGCCATGACGGACCGCTGCAGCCTCTGGAGCGCCTTGTCGGCCGCCGCTTGCTGCTTCTACCGGGGCTCCTTCATGCAAGTGCAGGTGAGGGAGGGAAGGAAGGCGTGGGACCCCCCCCCCTTGCCTGGTTGGGGTGGCTTTGGCCTCCCGCTTTTGCCAAGGGAGCCTTTGCACGAAATTGGGGAGCAGCTGCTGCGGCTGGATGGAGAGAGGAGAGGAGTGGTGGGGGGGGGGTCGCAGGAGCATGCCTCTTCCTCCTCCTCCTCCTCCTCCAAAGCTTTGCAAGGGCTTCTTTGTGTGCTAGCCGGAGCCGGCAGCCCCGGAATCCGGCGGAGGCTGGCGTGGGGAGGGGGCCGTCGCGCGGGGACCCGCTGGGTGGGCGGGCGGAGACTTCGATCCCCGGCGCGTGGCAGCGAGCAGAGAGGGGGATTCCCCGCTTCCCAAGGCGAGCTCCCCTCTCCCCCGCCCCGGCAGAGACCGTTTGGGGTGGGGGTGGGGTGGGGGAGTGGAGAAACCGCATCTCTCCCACGCGTGTTTGCTGCGGGTATCCAGGTGGAAGCGCCCACCTTTGGAGGTCTCTCCCGGGGGTGGCCTTTTATTTCTGGATGGGGGTGTGTGCGCGTGTTAATTCTTGGTAGGAAGAGGGCAAAGGGGTTGCTCAGCATCTTTCAGCGCCCTCCAGGTGAGACCCTCCCCGCTCTGTATAAACCTGCTGCTTCCAGTCGTCTCCAGGCTGGAGATGACAGACTACAGCCCCCATCCTCCCCAGCCGGCAGAGAGGTAACTGCTTGGACAAGGTGGGTTTCGCCCTCGCCCTCGCCCACCTGCTTGGCTTTCCAGAGTGGGAGGGGGCGAAGAAAAGGCCCCTAGAAAAGAAGAGGGAGGGAGGTGTGCCTTAAGGGTTAGAAAGGCAGGTAGGAGGGAAACACATACACACACACACACACACACACACACACACACACACACACACCTGTGTAGAAATATGAAGTGGGTGGGGCAGGTTCCCCCCCCCCCCAAAAAAAACCCTGTGTCTATGGAGGAAGCATCCTTCTCTCTTTGGACAAGGGCTGGTTGCAGAGGTCAGAGGTCAGGACAAGATCTCCCCCACCCCAGGGCAGCCAAGCTGAGATTGATGTTTAACACCCCTCCCTGCACACACACACAGAGACACACACCAGCCCCCAGCCCCTTTCTTTCTCCTAGCTGCAGGGCCGTAAGAGAAATATTCGCTTTCCAGAAGGATTTACAACCAGGGAATCCCTGGGGCCTGCAGGAACAAGAATAATAGAGAGAGAAAGGGGGGGAAAATAGGCTGGACCACAGTTCCCATCGTAACTCAGCAATGGGAGTTGTGGGTCTTGCATCTTCAGGAGGGAAGAAGGACCCCAAAGCTTGCAAGCTATGAAAGAGAAATCTCCATCCCCTCCATCCGTCCATATCCACCCGTTCTATCCCTCTATCCACCCGCCTATCGCACAACACAAAGATAGGCGTAAGAACCCCTTTAAAAAGAGAAAAAAGAAATAATTGCACACTAGACCTGATTGGAAGAACAGAAAAGAAGAACAGAAAAGATTGTATGAGTTCAACACCGAGGGTTTTGTGTGTGTATGTGTGTGTGTCTGTGTGTTCTCTCCAAATCCATCATTAGCCTATGATGTCATTGGCAATGCAGGCGTCCCAAAACAGCCCTCCGAAATTTGCATCTTGCCATCATTCGGCAGG